GAATGACTCGGGCAGGATGCTTCAAAGTGGGAGGGGTTTGGGCAGCTGAGTGGCATCCGAGAAAGGGCACCGATTCCTGGCCAGAAGACTCAGCTCAAGTCCCTGTGCTTCCAACTGCCAGCAGGCCGTCCCCGTCCCCGTAGCTGTGGCCCTGCAGTGTGAAATGAGGAGCTTGCACAAGACTAGCACTTCCAACTCCCAAGCTGAGGGTTCCCAGCTCGCGCGCTCCTGCCCCAGTCACACCTCCCTCACGCGGAGGCTGGGTCAGGGAAATTGACCTCATTTATTCCAACAGCCCGCAGGCACTTCCTGCCTCCGGCACTTTCCTCACATTCCTTCCTTTCCTCCCCAGCTCCCAGAAAGCACCAGAAACCCTCAATGGAAGAAAATAAAGACAACGCTCCCCTGCCCCCAGCTCAAATGAGCCCTCCCTCCTTTTTTCAGAAGCCATCACCACCTCGTGACCACTGTCTTCGTGTCTGTGTCTGTCTCCCATCTCCCAGAAAACTCGGTCTCCATCCGCCTTCCTAGAACGCGGGAGGCCAAGAATCTCTGTAAATATTTCTTCACTTTACTGGATTTAAATAGGAACAAGTGAATTCAGAAGAATTTAACTCTGCTTTATTTTTTTTAAGATTTTTTTTTATTTTTTATTTATTCATAGAGACACGGAGAGAGAGAGGCAGAGGCACAGGCAGAGGGAGAAGCAGGCTCCATGCAGGGAGCCCGACGTGGGACTCGATCCCGATCCCGGGTCTCCAAGATCACGCCCCAGGCTGCAGGCAGCGCTAAACCGCTGTGCCACCGCCACCGGGGCTGCCCTAACTCTGCTTTATTCCATCAGATTAATTGTATTGAATGTATTGGGAAGGCAACCAACATCAGCAAAAGGACCTGGGCTAGAAGAAGCTCACTAGGCTCGCCAGGTGGCTTTTACCATGTCACCTGACCCATGGGTTCCTAAAGCAGAACCTACCAGAGAAGGTGGAATACATTATTCCCACTTCCAAGAGCAGAGTGAAAAGGGAGAAAAGGAAACTTAGAGATTTCTAAACATCCGGGATCTATTTTCAGAAATGACTTTTCCATTCACTTTTCTTAAAAAAAAAAAAAAAGGAAGGAAGGAAGGAAAGAAAAAGACCGATACTAAGCCAAGAATAGACCAAGAAATGATTGCTGATGATCTAAATGGATAAAGATTCTTCCAGGAGCTCACCCCTTATGGCCTTAAAAGCAAAGACGCTCCCCCATGTTCATACAAACAGTACCTATAATCTTTTTTTTTTAATTTATGATAGTCACACACACACACAGAGAGAGAGAGAGAGAGGGAGGGAGGCAGAGACACAGGCTCCATGCACCGGGAGCCCGACGTGGGATTCGATCCCGGGTCTCCAGGATCATGCCCTGGGCCAAAGGCAGGCGCCAAACCACTGCGCCACCCAGGGATCCCCAGTACCTATAATCTTAAAAAATGAAAACCGGAGAAATCATTCCTTGTTTTTCAGAAAGTTTGTATAATCCAGAAATAGACTCTGTGGAGTAAATATAGTAAACCTCCTATTAATTAATACTAAATAAAGGTCGCAAGGAGGTGGCAATGATGTCATCCGACTCTGTTATACGGGGCTCCGGCCTTGCAATTTCCCAAACCATGGATTGTTTTCTCCATAAAATAGCTTGTTCAAAGGAATTTTAATATACCACAGAATTTCTCCAATTGGAGCAGGTCAAATCCCATCTCCTGAACAAATGGGTCCCTAAAAGTTTATGTCATGCTATAATCTGGGCCTTCCACCGTCATCAGGATTATTCACATTCGTTTTGATCTCAAATGTGATACGTCCACCATCCTCTGGACTGGCTGCTCGGCCTTGGCAGTCCGGCATTGTAATCTCAACTGAGCTCCAAGAACAGAACATGCAGTTTCACTCACTCGGTCCACATATAAGACAACATCAACACAACCCACAGGCACTGCTGAAGGCACTAAATTTTTTCAAAGGAGGCAAAATGTTCTTCCCATGTTTTCTGCCTAAATAGCAAATATCTTCTTATAGAGTGATCACTGAACTCTGAGCGAATATATGTAGAATACATACGTGTGACCAATGTGAACCAGGCAAGACTCACCCACAGAAACTGCCAGCCATAGAAACGATCAATTAACTTTATATTTTTTAACAAGGTCTTTGGATACAATTCGCAGCAAAGAATGAAAACTATACAGACAATACTGATCTGCGGAGATAGTGAATTTAAGCCTAAGGAGGGTTCAAAATCAAACCCAGAAAATTCCATTTTGAAAACACTGAGATTTTTTTATACATCTGTAGCCACATCTGTAAAGATTATTTCCTCAGGCTTGCAACTTTTTGGTTGTGACTTGAAAAAGAAATTACAACTACAGTAATTCACCCACACACCCTGAAGCTGCCAATATCAAATGCTATTACACACAACATTGAAGGGAATTACTATAAAACTCTAGAAGAGATTATCTACAACCCTTGGCCCTCAGTTACTGTGTTTACAGGGCCTCATCTTACACTATGACAGTTTTTACTAAATTGTATGTGAAATAACGTTTTAAGTCAGCATCAATTTTCACCACACCTACTACATTCATTTATTCCTTCATAATTTCATTTTCTTTAAAAGCCTATTTATTTGCTACTATCCTGTCAGTTCTCTATTTGGAAGCTGTTTGGAGAAAATCATTGAACACCGTCTTCCACTTGCGCGAATCAAACACAACTCAAAAAGGACTTTAACTGTCAGATGCACATGGAGAAAATGTGCTCTGACAAAGTTTTTTTCCATATGATAAAAATCAATTACAACTTTAAAGGATAATCAGTCACCCATAAAAAACGGCAGGGTTCTGTTTTGAAAGAGGAAGAAGAATGGCTATTACACCATAGCCATTTACACCCTTCGGTAGACTCCACTTAAATGTTTGTGGCTTGCTGAACATTCCATACATATTTCGGGCAAGGTATTATGGGAGCTGAAGTGCAAGCTATCCCCTGCTGAATTTTCACTCACTATAAAAACAATGTCTCATAAAAGTATACACATGTTTTTACTTTACAAAAAAATGTAAACTATGCACTTTTACTCACTCAATTGACACTTTTAGCACTAGAAACGGGACTTTAAAAAAATCTATAATATAAGTGATGCCTGCAAAGGGTGAAAATGTCATTCAGTAACAAACAGATTTCTGGAAAAAAGAACATAGGAAATGTGTATGAAACACAGAGAAAGGAAGACTACAAGCTGACTCCTGTAGGGTCTGCTCACCTATGTCCTGGGTCATACCATTAAAATGGAAATTTGCACGTTTATATTTTTCATCTTGAATCCCCACTCCAATGTAGCCACAACTGTTTTATATTACCCTCATAAAATGAACCTTTTCTTAGCCTTTTCTAAGCCAAACAGTATTTTTAATTGGTTCATTTTCCAGTTGTTTGGGTTTTTAGCAGACATACAGCATAAAAGGGCACTACATTCCAAGCAGTTCCACCAATTCCAGAACCATCCAAGACTTCATCAAACAGCTGTGGCTCTAGCCTTTGGTAAAATTATTATATGATCTCACCTGATTTTCAAAATAACTAAGCATCTTTTTAACCCATAAAAGTGTGCTAGGATTTACCTAAGTTTCTGAGTCCAGAAGTTTGCTGTGTTCAGGGAGGATGTTAGGGAAACACGCTCATTTTGCTGTTTTGTTTTTCCCTATCTGAACCCAGAGAGATTCTTCAAACAATAATGCAACAGCTTCCCTCCTCCAAAGTTTATTTTCAAACGCCAGTGCCATGCAGCACTGCCTTTCCTTTGCAGGTAAGGAGGAAGCAGGAGCAATGTCATCACACTGAGCCTGTCCTGAGTCTTAAAATCATTGAGAAGCCTGCAGTATTTCCTTTCTAGCACCCCGGCCTAGTGCAGAGAGAAGTTGCTGCAGGTAGGACAAGGTATCAGGTAACCACTAGAAACACTTAGTTTCAACAGAATTCCCAATTACGCGGTGCGAGCGTGCACAGACACTCACACACACACACACACACACACACACACAAAAGCACCTCTCCAAAAGAGCAGAACCACTGAAACTAGCAATCACACAGAAAGTTAAGGAAAAGCATCATTACATGAACTTAATCAAATGCAATGTGGTAGTGCTTTTAGAAGAATCCATGTTTCACTCCATGGTATAGTCACATAAATAATAAGACAACTTAGTGCCCTTGTTCACATCTTGCACAAAAAGGAAACCTGAAATTCAGCTCTTGTTTTTCGTTTACTGCAAAAGCATATGGGTCTAATCATATTGCATTCTGGCTGCAGTACACAAGGCGATTTCAATCAGAATTTCAACTCAATTTTTAAGGCGCTAAAGAGCAACCATCATAGTCTGGGAGCAGAGTGTCCCGATTCCAAGAGAACTGGGAATCCCTGAGTGGCCCATCTGGCACCAGTGTTTGGATGGAAAGTAGGCTGAGCCCGCCAGACAAGGAACCCACACCACGAAGCTGGAGCGCACGTTTATGCTCCAAGATGACAGCTCATCTGGCCACCCCGGGGCCGGGGGCGGTGGGCGGCCGAGGCCCGGCGGGGATGGGCGAGGCCGCGGCGGAAAAAGGAAAAGAGGGCCATCCGTCAGCTCCGGGGGAGGAAATTCCAGGCGACCAGCTTCCAGGCGCCGGTCAGCGGGTGACGTGAGGGAACCAAGTCACTGTGTCGGCCCCGCAGCGGGGGCCGGGAGGCGGCCGGGGCTCCGCACTCCGGGGGCTCGAGGCCGGAGACCGGGCGCCTCGAACCTCGTCCAAGGCCTCTGGGTGGGGGCGTGGAGCGCCCAGATCCTCGCCCGGGGCCCCCCGAAGACACGCGATCTGCGCCCAGACCCGGAGGCCTGCCGGCGTCCTGGATCCCCTCCGAGAGCCTGAGGGATGGAGCGCCGGGACCCCGGCCGCGGCCCGCACCCCCGCTCTTACCGGTCGCGGGGGTCGATCCACGACGTCTGGCGCGTGTTGTGGTCGATGTAGAAGACGCGGCCGTCGTAGTCGCGCGCCTCCTCCCAACCGGCGGGCAGTGGCAGCTCCGCGCTCTCCCGGGCCCGCGGCGGCGGCGGCGCAGAGGGCGCGGGGGGCGCGGGGGCCGCGGCAGGGGGCGCGGACGGCGGCTGCTCCCGAGGGGGCTGCGCGGGTGGCGGCGGCTCCCGCGGGGCCTCCCGCGGCTCTCCCCGCCGCCGCCGCCGGCCGCCGCTTAACCACGGCATGACCGCTCGGGCCCCGCCGCCGCCGCCGCCGCCCGGCCGCCCCGCGCGCGCCGCGTCCTCCGCCAGCACTAAGGCCCGGCGCCCGGGGCGCGGGGGCGGCCGCGGGGAGCCGCCCGCCGCGCCCGGTGCATCCTCCGCCCGGCGCCCGCGCACCGGCGCCCGCCCGCCGCCCGTCCGACCCTGCGCGTCGCCGCCCGCGCTGCCCGCCCGCCCGTCCGGGTCGTTCGGATCGCCGCCACGCGTGGAGTCACAGCCCCGGAGTCGCCGCCGCCGCCGCTGCCGGCGGCCCCTCGATTCCCGCGGCGCGCCCGGCCATCTTCGTTCCTCGGCGCGGCCGGGTCGGGAGGGGCGGGGCGCACGCAGGCCCCGCCCCGCCCGCGGCCCCGCCCCTCCGCCCCGTCCCCCGGCCTGCGGCGCCGGCTCCCGCCGCCGGGTCCGCCGTCTCCCTCCGCTGCTCCGCCTCCAGGCTCCCCCGGGGCTCCCGGGCCACCGTCTCCCCAACCCGAGCCCCCGCCCCCTCCTGCTGCTGCCCCCCGGCTCCCCGACCGGAGGCTCCCTCGTCCCCCAGCCGCTGCAGCTCCTCCTCCCGCTCCTGCTCCGCTCGCTCCTCCCTCTTCCCACTCCATCACCTCCCTCCTCCGGCCTCGCCGGGAAACCGCGCGGGGGCCAGGATGGGCGCAGCCGCGTCCGTCCGCCCCCGGGCCACCGCGGAGAGGAAGGGGGGCCGGGAAGACGGCACCCCACCCGAGCTGCAGGCGCGGCCCGCCTGGGGCTCACTCCGGGGACGCGAACAATTCCCGGGGGAGAGGGCGGTCACTTCGCTTTACCCACCCCCAGGCTTCCAGAGCCCCTCTGCCCACTGTGGGGGGGACTGCGCCTTGGGTCTCCCGAATAGCCAAGATGGTCCCGCGAAGCCGGGTAAAGCCCCGGAGGGGAGGCCGAGGGGGAGCCCGTGGCCAGTCATCTTGGGTGGAGCTGGGGCGACACACCTGTAACCGAGAGCTGGACGGGTGGCCACTTAGGCATCCCCGCCAGGAGAGCCCCAGAAGGGCTGATCCGCAGTCCCCGCTCTGGGCCAGGCCCCCTGACCTGCCTTAAGCTCTTCCACCTTCCAGACTGAAGGATCTGATAGTTTGAGCAGAGACTCAAGCTGACCACTGCTGGGGAGGAAGCTGTGTCAACCCCTAAAATCTGATGATACGTTATGTTCCACTCGCGTCACAAGCTGGAGAAACTGAAGTCCCAACTTTGGGGCTCTCTCTTGCTCCAAGTGTCCCAGCTACTTAACTACTCCAGTTCCCTGGCCACGAGACTTAAAGCCAGGAAATGCAGGAAAGTTATCAGGAAGGTTTTAAAACACTGTTACGGTGATATAAAAACAGCTAGTAAAAAGTCAGTGTGATCCAAATCTAGATAGAGAGAAGACACTGAAGGAAAACCTTCCAAAACTAGTTTGCGTTCCTTCAGTGAGGTGGCTTTTTAAAAATTATTTACCCTCCAAATTGTTTGTAAAATGATAATATTACTTTCATAAGGGGGAAATGTTCTTGGAGACCGCTCACTGGGACATACCTAAGGAAGGTCTTTCCTCCCCTCCTCCCACCACAACACAGGAACTTCCTTATTCCCCCCAAGTGTCTGCCCCCACCCAAAATTATATGCCGGAAATTCCACCACTAGAGTCCTTTTAGTTAAACGTGAATGGTTATTAAATGTCCCAGGGAAAGGTAGGGAGAGTAACAAAAAGGCTAATACTTCCTGATCTCGCACATTCCAGGGGATGCCCAAGTGCCAAGTATCCCCGCTCTGACGTCATCCTTTCTGGTTGGCATGAGTTACTGCCAAGGGGGCTGCCGCTGCCTTTCCTCTCTCTTCCTGCCCACCCCGAAGTCACTTTGCCACCTAGCATGGCCAGGCTGAAGCTGCAGGTCCACCCTCCCAGGCATCTTGTCCTTCCAGAATTTCACAGACCTGGGTACTGTCGCTGGAACCTGCCCTGAATCGGGCTGGAGTGTGTTAGAGTGAAGCAGCCCCTACGGAGAGAGAACACACCCACACATCAAAGGACTCCTACAAGGAAAGGCAAGAAGAGAGAGTATCAGGTAAAGAGTAAGGGGTGGGGGGACCACACCCAGGTGGGAGCTGAGAGGCAAGCATGGATGGGCTTTCCCTGAGGACGGGAGACTTTAGGTACCCGTTGGGACTGTGCTACAGACCTACTGCTTACGAGCGCTGTGCAAGGTGTTGGCACGCTGCAGAGAGCAGGACTGAGTCTATGCACCCCCCATGCCACAAAGAAATAAGCACTTACGACTGTGATTTGTCTACAAATGAAACTCAGGTTCATCCCCAAACTGAGGATGCAGGAGGCCCGTGAGACTCCAAGGAAGACACCTGAGATGAGGAAACTGAGGCTCAGGTCTCCAGGTTCCCAAGTTCTGAGCCCTGTCCCCTTGGCACCTGGAGCTGCTGGCACCCAATACTTGATGTTGATAGCAGATGCGGCATCCCACCCAGATTTCCTTGGCTGGGGTGCACAGCCTTCTTGGAGGATCACCCTTGGCTGACAGACTTCTAAGAGGTTATGCCCCCCCCCCCCCCAGGGACTGATTCTGCTGCGGGACAGCCCGTCCTCTTGCCTTTGTGGGACAGACTCCAGTGGGCCACACTCCAGAGCTCCCCATGGGCTGCCATGGCTTTGCTAGCTGCCCCCCACCCTACCCACCTCCACACCCCCTTCGGTGAGCACACCCCCAGTCCGGCACTCGCTTGACCACGGCCACCTCCGGCACTGTTTCTGGGGAGCCTGACCTATGAGGGTTCCCCGCGCTTGCTGTCTGCCGAGCACTGAGCAAATATAAATCATTTGATCATCGTGACAACGTCTGCAGATATTCCTAATTCCGTGTGCACATTAGAGGAGAGTTCAGAAATAGGGGGACATGGCGTGCCAGTGAAGACAGATGGGACACCCTCACTGAAAAAGCTTTAGCCACATGCCCACTCGTGGCCCCTGGACCTCTCTGACTCAGAGAAGCACAGCAGGCCTGCTGCCTTTTTCTTCCTAAAATGAGCTAACTAATGGAAGAGGCCAGAACTTGGGGTGCCTGAGGCCTGTTGACAGCTTCGTTAATCCTTTCTGACTTGGAAGATCTGCCTGGCCTCTGGGCGTCCCTGCAGACCTGTGCAGGGAGCTGGGTTGGCAGGGAAGGCGGTGAGACAGCTCAGCGGTTTAGTGACACCTTCGGCCCCCGGCAGGAGCCTGGAGTCCCGGGGTGAGTCCCACATGGGGCTCCCCACGGGGGGCCTGCTTCTCCCTCTGCCTGCGTCTCTGCCTCTCTCCTGCATCTCTCATGAATAAATAAATAAATAACAACAACAACAACAACGAAGAGAAGGCGGTGGGGTGGTCGAGAAAGGGAGTGCGGCCTCCCCAGCACCGCGGTGAATTGGGAAGTCTTGTAGCCCGTGGTAATTGTCGGCGAGAAGAAGGCCCGTCTTTCTTACAGTCAAGTGGGGCTTTCCATGTGGAACTAAAAACATAGGCACACACCGGACACTGTAGCAGAAGAAGTCTTTGGTCTGAGCTGAATGCACAATTATGCATTCCTTTTTGCCTCTGTATTAAAACCACAGCCTTGCCAACAACAGAAGTACAAACATTGCAGTGATCTATCCTCTCCCCGAGATTTCGGATGGAAAAACCGCTCAGGAAAAATCCACTTAGGCTCTGGGTGATGAAGGCACAAACACTTGTTCACTGCACCGACCTTCTGGGAAATCCCTTTTCTGAAACGGTTAAAATGCCCTCAATATAGCTTGCAATAATATTTTCTTTAAAATGCTTGGTTTTTTTTTGTTTTTTTTTTATTATTTTTATTTTTTTAAAATGCTTGTTAAGGGGCAAAACCAGCACACTCTTTGCATGCCAGACGAGCAAACGCAGAGTTTGAAGATTTTTACCCTTCCCGTGACATTCCACCTTCTCCCACCAACCCTCTTCCCAAAGGATAATCTTGATTTTAGAGGAGAAGGTACAACATTGCATCTATACGCATTCGATGCTTGAGAAGCTTCTAGAAGAGGGAGTACCATGAAGGCCACAATCATCGGGTCTAAAATGAGAGAAATAAAGACTGCCAAAGGAGTCTTGCTTACTTGTATAAACGATCAAGTGTTCTAGGAAATGACACATTGGCTAATTCTGCACATTGTACTGAGAGGAAACCGGAAGTGGGCCGGATTGGGTCTGAAGAAGAAATGGCTCATTGTTTGGCATTCTTTAAATGCTAGAATAATTACTCAATTATGGGCACTTCCCATATATTTAAATAATGCAAATGCACAAGCTGTGGAGGAGATTGGATGTAGTTCCTGCTAATTCCTGTCTTGCCGGTTCCAGGACAGCAAAGGAAGAAAGAAATCCCAAAATCCCTACCCTGGAACCCCTCGGCAGGCTCGGGGGACCGGAATGGGGACAGGGTGGGGTTATTCCCTGGTGCTCTACTTTGTGGCTTTATGTCTTTAACTTCAGACACTTATTTGACTTGTGATCAGAAGTTGTTTAGATTTTGAGTGTGGACTGAGAGCCTGACAGCGCTTTTCTCAAATGGGTCGATGCAGCCGGTTTGGAGATTCAGGTTTTTCCCATTTCCTCATCTTCCACTCCAAAAACGTGCAGGGTATTCCGGAAAAGTCAGCTGCGTGGATGAGCCCGGCAGCCTGTGTCTGGTCCAATTGAGTGCATTTTTCTGCCCTGTGTCAGCTCCCAGAATGTTCTCAGAGTTGGTCGTGGCTGTCAGGCTGGAGGCGGACTCCTTTCGTACCTGAGTTATTAAAATTCAGATTTAAAAAAACGTCAGCCCAATTTCTCTCCCAAACTTAGAATGCTCCAAACCACCCACTTCCTTCCTCTCCGAGTCTCCCCTCCCAAGGCTACATTTTTACTTTTTCTCCTTCCCAACCCATGGGTTATGTTCAACAAAATGCTAACGAGTAAACCGAAAATGTATTCCGAGCAGGC